ATGGAAAAGTGTCCCTGAAACGGGAATTCCATGGAAAAGTGTCCCTGAAACGGGAATTCCATGGAAAAGTGTCCCTGAAACGGGAATTCCATGGGAAATGGGAAAAGTGGCTCGAAAAATGGGTAAATCACCTGGAAATTGAGAAATTCCATGCGAAAATGTCCCCAAAATGGAGAAATTCCCTGGAAAAATGACCCTAAAATGGAGAAATTTGATCAAAAAATGACCCTAAAATGGAGAAGTTTCCTGGAAAAATGTCCCTAAAATGGAGAAATTCCCTGGAAAAATGTCCCTAAAATGGAGAAATTCCATGGAAAAATGACCCTAAAATGGAGAAATTCCACGGGAAAATGTCCCTAAAATGGAGAAATTCCACGGGAAAATGGAAAAATTCCATGGAAAAATGTCCCTAAAAATGGGTAGATCACCTGGAAATTGAGAAATTCCATGGAAAAATGTCCCTAAAATGGAGAAATTCCACGGGAAAATGGAGAAATTCCATGGAAAAATGTCCCGAAAAATGGGTAAATCACCTGGAAATTGAGAAATTCCATGGAAAAATGTCCTTGAAATGGAGAAATTAGATCAAAAAAATGTCTTTAAAAGTGGCGAATTCCATAGAAAAATATCCTTGAAATTGAGAAATTCCATGGGAAAATATCCCGAAAATGGGGAAATTCCATGGAAAAATGTCCCTAAAATGGAAAAATTCCATGGAAAAATGTCCCTAAAAATTGGAAATTCCATGGGAAAATGGGAAAATGGCTTGGAAATGGGGGAATTCCATGGGAAAATGGGGAAAATGTCCTTAAAAATGAGAAATTCCATGGGAAAATGGGAAAATCACCTGGAAATTGAGAAATTCTATGGAAAATTGTCCTTAAAATGGAGAAATTCATGGAAAATGTCCCTGAAATTGAGAAATTCCAGGAAAAAACGAGGAAAGTTCCAGGGGAAAATGTCAGAGAAATGGAGAATTTTCCATGGAAAAATATCCCAGGAATTGAAAATTCCAATGGGATTTTTGGACCTTTATTTTATGGGATTTTTTTGAATTTCTGGGCTCTTTTTTAACATTATTTTTTGGTTCTTTTTTTGGGATTTTAGCCAGATTTTTTTGGGATTTGGGGCTGGTTTGGCTGAGCTGGAAATCACAAAAAAATCCTCGAAATTCTGGGGAAAAAAAGGAAAAAAAAAATCACAAAAATGCAAAAATTCTGGAATTGGGGGCTGGGAATCCGAGCGGGAACTGGGAGAGGAAAAATTGGGCTGAAAATGGGCCAAAAAATCGGGATTTTGGTGTTTTGGGGGCTTTTATTTTGATTTTTTTTTTTGGGAATAAACGGAATTTGGATGAGCTGGAATTGGGGTGAGAATTCCTTGGATTTGGGGGATGAAACTGGGAGGGTAAAACTGGCCTGAAAAAAGCAAATTTTGGGTCTGTTTGGCAGCAGAAATGGGGAAAATTTTGATTTTATCCATGGAAAAATTGGGAATTTGAACTGGGATGAACTGGGAGGGACTGGGACAAACTGGGAGGGATAAAACTGGCCTGAAAAAAGCAAATTTTAAGTCCATTTGGGAGCAGGAATTGGGAAAAATTTCCTTTTTTATCCATGGAAAGTTGGGAATTTGGACTGGGATGAACTGGGAGGAGTAAAAAGGAGTAAAAATGGGCTGAAAAAATCAAATTTTGGGTACATTTGGGATCCAGAATTGGGAAATTTTCCTTTTTTATTCATGGAAAAATTGGGAATTTGAACTGGGGTGAACTGGGAGGGGTAAAAAGGAGTAAATATTGGCTGAAAAACACAAATTTTAGGTCTGTTTGGGAGCAGGAATTGGGAAATTTTCCTTTTTTATCCATGGAAAAATCGGGAATTTGGACTGGGATGAACTGGGAGGGACTGGGATATACTGGGAGGGATAAAATTGGGCTGAAAAAAGCAAATTTTGGTTCTGTTTGGGAGCAGAAATGGGGAAAAATTTGAGGTTTATCCATGGAAAAATTGGGAATTTGGACTGGGAGGGACTGGGATAAACTGGGAGGAAATGGGAGGGGTAAAACTGGCCTGAAAAAATCAAATTTTGGGTCCGTTTGGGATCAGAAATGGAACAAATTCCCTTTTTTATGACAACGACGTGGGCGTGGCTTCACCGCCGCTGCCCATATATGGCGATGGTGGGTGGGCGTGGCCTCAGCGCGGCTCGACCAATCAGCGCGCAGTGGGCGTGGCCATCGCGAGGCGGGCGAGGGAGAAGGGCGCGGCCCGCCGTGAGGGCGGCCCAAGATGGCGGCGCGGCCGTGGCCGCCGCTGCTGCCGCTGCTGCTGCCGCTGCTGGCGGCGCCGGGCCGCGCTCCCCGCCCGGGGCTCGGGCTCGGGCCCGGCGCCGCCGCCGCCTATTTCCCCGAGGAGCGCTGGAACCCGGAGTCGCCGCTGCGGCCGCCGCGCGTGGCCGTGGCGCTGCTGGCGCGGAACGCGGCCCACGCGCTGCCGCTGGTGCTGGGAGGGCTGGAGAGGCTGCGGCACCCCACGGACAGGATGGCGCTGTGGTGGGGACAGTGGGGACACGGGGACAGTGGGGATAGTGGGACATTGGGGACACTGGGGACATTGGGGGAATTGGGGACATTGGGGACACTGGGGACATTGGGGACACGGGGACAGTGGGGACAGTGGGGACACTGGGGACACTGGGGACATTGGGGATAGTGGGGATAGTGGGGACACTGGGGACACTGGGGACATTGTGGACATTGGGGACATTGGGGACACTGGGACACTGGGGACATTGGGGACATTGGGGACATTGGGGACATTTGGGGACTTGGGGGACACTGGGGACATTGGGGGACACTGGGGACAGTGGGGGGACATTGGGGACACTGGGGACACTGGGAGCATTGGGGACACTGGGGACATTGGGGACACTGGGGACATTGGGGACACTGGGGACATTGGGGACATTTTGGGACATGGGGGACACTGGGGACACTGGGGGGATTGGGGACATTTTGGGGGGTTGGGGACACTGGGGGGACACGGCACCCCACGGACAGGATGGCGCTCTGGTGGGGCTGGGGACACCGGGGGGACACTGTGACATTCCTGTGTGTGACACCTCCTGTGTGAACCCTGAGTGACCCTGTGTGACCCCCGTGACCCTGAGTGACCTTTTGTGACCCCCGTGACCCCTCTGTGACCCCTCTGTCCCCCCAGGGTGGCCGCTGACCACAGCGTGGACACCTCTGGGTGTGAATGTGACACTGTGACCCCTGAGTGACCCCTGTGACCCCTGAGTGACCCCTGTGTGACCCCCGTGACCCCTGAGTGACCCCGGTGACCCCTGTGACCCCTGTGTGACCCCAGGGTGGCCGCTGACCACAGCGTGGACACCTCTGGGTGTGAGTGTGACACTGTGACCCCTGAGTGACCCCTGTGAC